TTTCATCCCGGCCCATCGCCAACTGCAACTATGTTCTTGTAGGCTTGGATGTCCTGCGCCGGTCGATGTGGACATCAGCAATCATATTTTTCCGAGCCGGGTCAAACACACTATGTGAGTCAATGGAATTAAAAGAATTGTGTTTGTGGGCGTCTCAGCCGGCCATATATATAACCGTTATTGCAGCCATTTTGCTCAATCTTCTGTGAGGACCGCAGTGCTTTGATTCCATGGCTTCACCAGAAGAGGACCAAGAAAAGCCCGGGGTCCCCTTGGAGAACATAGCTTCTGAGTGGGAGGCGCAACAGGCTATCAGGAAATACCTGAAAAGCGAAGACCCACCCATTCTGTTTCCCGCAAGTGTGAATGAATCAGTGAGAACTTCAGTGGTGCCGCATGTACATGCCTTGTTGGTTGAGCTGCTGAAACGGTCAACACCAGTTGAAGGGAACCCCCAACCAAGTGTGGAGCCGCTGCGGGACGAGATCGCTCGGCTTTACAAACACTGCAGCGTTGTGGTGGATGAGTCCCAAGTCGTCCATGACTCATGGATGCTTCGGAAGTTTTTGAGTTTCGTGAAGAAGAAAGCTCGATTGGGGTTGCCCTCTACAGCTGCTTGGTTGCAGGGTTGTATAAAACTGCAGCAACAGAAACTGATATGTTACAAAATCATACAGTTTGTTTTCTTTTCGGGGGTCCGGTCCGATGGGGTGAAGTGCAGCGTGCCGGAACCTATGGTTGCGAAATTTCAGCAGCTGGTCTTGATGATTCGTCCTGACTTGAAGGCCACGCACTGCCTTCTTGCATGTGGTAAGTCCTGACATGTATAAGATCTTCCCACTTGTTTATGTCTTTTGCTGCGCAGGATATTTGCGACCACATCAACAAGAAAATGGCTGAGAAACAGGGAAAGGCAAGTTCCATGTGCGAGTTCCCGAGCGTGTTTGTTCATGTTGTTTTGATATGTATAACTGGCAATCCCGCGAGTGCTTGTTTCGTGCTTTGCTGGCGGACAGGCTTCTGGATCACAAACCTTGGATGAACCGGACGCTTATGACGAGGAAGGGGAAGGTGAGGAATCGGAAAAGGAATGCACTGCTGATGCGGAGGTTCCTACGCCTGATTCTCAACAAGAGATTGTTGGTAAGGATGTTCCCCAGCAGCAGGGTAGCTTTGGAGAGCGTCCCATCGTTTTGAAAGAGCCACTAGTTGACCCTCATGCCCGCGCACCAACCCCCGTGGACGAGCCCACCACTCCTGAGCCGGTGCGCAATGATGCGCCGCAGCAAACCGCTCTACCTGCCACGGGCAAGGGTGGAGGCACCGGTCTCAGTTCTTTAGTCCTGCAAAAAGATATGTTTTATATCATTCTATATAGGCGTCCTCAAAAGCTCGACCATTCCCTTCTTACTCAGGTAGCCCTGGGCACTTAGCTGGTCTAGATGAAGTGGAGCGAGCTACCTTGGAAGCGTTGGAAAAAGCGAAGGAACATCTGGCATCGCCAACCCCTAAGCTGTTTTTAACACGTACGCAACCGCGTGTCGAAGAGCAGCGCCCACGCAATTGTTATTCTTGTTCGCGGATTGCCTGAGGATTCGGGATCGGAAGGCATCTATTCAGCGGCAGATTAGGAATTTGAAGAGCCAAGACTTCCAGGCCCCACCAGGACAAGTGTTGTTTCCCACCTTGTTCCGTGACCAAAACATGGGAAGGACACACTGTGCGCACGAACACAGTATACTATAGAGCATGCATCATGAATGCTTTTTGCAGGAGCTCCTACTTCTCCACCTCCTGTTCCGCAGCCCAAACTCCCTGTTGACAACGTGGAGACCCAGGCCATGGACATCATGGCCGTTGACCCCAGACTGGTAGTTGCAGAAACCCAGGTGCCAACCTCTACTGAATCGCTGAGCCCTGGCACAGCTCGAGCGACATACCAGAGAAAGGGTTTAGAGAAAGAGGCAACGTTGAAGCTGCCTGCCCCATCGTCTAAGTCTGTCCCGAACCAGACTGAGAATACAGAGTTCGTACACAAGGAGAAGCAGGACTGTCGCGTATGCGTTTGCAAGTAAACTGCAATCCTTGGGCAATAATATAAAAGCCGCCTTGTCCTGAGAGGAGGGAACTCCCGCAGACCCGCAGGCAGAGGAGCGCCCAGTGCTGTTGAGGAATGACCAGCTGACACGCAAATCCACAAAGAAAGCAAACAGGAAAAACAAGCAAAAGAAAAACAAGAAGGGCAAAAAGAGCAAGCAGAGCAAAAGCAAGAAGAGCAAAAGCAAGAAGAGCAACGCAAAATCAGCTAAAGCATTGAGCCCAAAAACCAAACGGCGTAAGATCCTCCAAGCAACCTCTGACAGCCCAGCCAAGACCAAGACAAAGCAAGCGCAAAAGAGCACTAGCAGCAAGCAGCCAAGCAAGCCAAGCAAAGCTAAGAGGAAGGCGGGCAAGGCAGACCAGGCAATCAAGACAAACCAGCCAAGCAAAAAGGCAAACAAGAGTGCATCCAGCCAGCCATCGAAAGGAATCCCCCGAGGGAAGGCCAAGCAATATGCCGGGACCCCTGCTGACCCTGCGTGGGTTGAGGAGCTGCGTGCTTTTGGGCACCAGTCTGGACAGGATACACCTGCTGTGACATCCCCCGAGTTCAAGGAGAGATTACGGGGGTTGCTGGCACAAAACTTGACTTGGACAGCTCTCAATTTGTACTGGACTCGCTGCGGTTGCGGCGTTACTGTTTGGAATGATGAAGGTGGACCCTATGATATCCACAGTTTTTCTTTCGGGTCCTCAACGGCCGCTCCCCACCACAAGCTCTCGGTGGCTGCGAAATGCGCTGAAATCACTGCGGCTCGGTCTGGTGTAAAGATTTGAATGGTTAAATGGAAAGTCAAGAAGTTGAATTGAAACAGTGAGGTGCCTTGACCCATGTTGCAACAACATGTTGCATGGAAAGAAACTTGTTTCACACTTGTCCAGGCACTTGGGTTGGAAGCAAATGATCCGGGGTTTGGCAAAGAAGGAGTGAAGGTGCCGGCGCTCAAGAGCAGTGCCATTCGTGCTTTGTTTGTCCTCGCTAATGAGGAGTGATGAGCCAGTAGTCTACCGCACCGAAGAAATCCTCTTCCGTGCCGCTTTTTGTGAGCATTTTGGGGCGCACATGTTTGTGCAAGTTTCCTGACTTCTCAACCACCAACGCGTGAACACACATATGTTTGAACCGCTCGTTTTAGTTCAGTGTGAAGCTTTGGGAGATGCGCTCAAATATGTCCAAACAGATTTGGGAAGCAAGCAACCGCAGGTTGCTGCATAAACAGCTTTGGACCCTGGCTACACGGCAAAAGTGTGCGTGTGACAATCCTGCAAGCCCGCCCTCAGCTTTTTAGTGAAGTGAAGAGTTGAGGTGTGCCACGGCAACACTAGCCTTGATCAGCCTGCTGGGTCAACATATCTTTTCCGTGAGTGTGCGTTTCGTTATTCTACGCCATCCCCCAGCCATATATTATATATATTTTTTTATATTGCTCTTGTCTTGGGGCCAGCTACACATCCGGCAGGCCTGGCTGAGTCATCGTCATCATCATGCCGCGACTGCGAGGGCGCATGTTCCAGGTGCGGAGCAAATTCAACACAAAGCTGAAAGGAAAGCCTGGCTAGTTTTACTTTCCAGTCGTCCGCCGCTTTGACACCTTGTTCAGGGCATTTCCAAGTTGAAAGGGTATGGACATCAATATTGAAAGTCACGACAGCTTGTGGACATGACTCCGTGAATCTTGCGCCTGCCCTCTCAGCCGGGCGTAGTTTGGGCATAGATCAGGATCGATTGGATAGAGCCTGATAGGAGGCCATGGAGTCCGACCCGCCAGAACTGGACATGTTGTTTTGGCGGCTCCTGGCCTTGGACTGCCCCAAGGCCCCCCTTTTCGTTGAACGTTTGAGGAATTTAATACAAAAAAATGTACCGTAGACAAGAAACATGTTTCGAATTTCGAAGCACTTAAGCAGGTCATGGCGGAAATTATTTTACTGATCCTTTGGACACGGACAATCCCTGGTGGAGAGGACCCTGTGGCGTTTCTTTGTGTAGTTCGCACCGTGTCCCTTGTAGAGAAGTGTTCCCTCATGCCTCCACAAATACCAGTGTTGTTTTGCAGGAACTATCTTTCATTGAGTTCTTTGCGGGTCACGGCAATTTGTCCAAGGTAATGAAACTCTCCGGCCTTAGAACTACATCGCTGGATCTGAAGTACAAGGTCAAGGAGGGAGTGCGCAGCCATGGTTCCAACCCCATGGACCTGAACTCTCGGTCCGGGTTTGCGTTCTTCCGTCCATGCTTTCAGAATCTTTTCGGTTTTGCAATCACCCCGACATCAAGTGTATCCCGACTTGGGCATCAATATGAAAGAATTATCCCTTATAAAATTGAAGGTGCACTTGTTTGTTAGACGGTAACGTGGTGGGATGCCAAGGTTTGAGGCTCCGTTTTGGGGGTGAAGGGGTCGGTATATATGTCAAGTACCCGAATCGTTCCAAACAGCTCAAGGCCATCCAAATTTACAAAGGTTTCCACCACTTTGGACTTCAAGCAAAACGGAGGGCCCCTTTATTTCATAATGTGCATGGCCATGGCCGCCCAAATCAGTGTTCATCTAGCACCCCCCTTTTTGATGCCATATTTCTGGCATCACAGCGCTCTGCTTGGCAAGGACACCAAAAGAAATGTCGGTGTTCTTTTTTGGTGTGTTTGGGGCGCGCTTAGGACACCGACGTTTCTTGCATCATGGCATGGCAGGTCTAAAGAAACAATTATTTCTCCCATCATCACGCGACCCCGGCCAAGCAATGGAACATTGCCAGTCTCATGGGCCGTCATCCATACAGATGAAAGCAAAGAGAACTGTCCTATATTTCTGTAGCCCCTCCAAACCCTATTAAACCCAAGGTTTACGAGACAGTGCGGCCCAAAAGAAACCGTCGCCACACACTGGCGAGCCCAGGCTGGGGATCGCTGCCATCTTGCAATGTCGCGCGGGGGCTTTCCTGGCAGCGTTTGCGCTGCGCTGTTCGTCGTGGTGTAGCATTAACAAGGGCACGTCAAAGCGATCAGCCTGTGCAAGTATAGGCTACACAGACTACCCAAGCGTAAAAGAAGCAAACATGCTTGGAGCAAGGCCCATCGGTTCATATGGTTGCAATTTTCAGCTGGGGCTCCATAATTGGGGCGTTACGGCTTTCAAATTGTTGTTGGGTAGAATGTATAGAAGCCGTAACGCTCCCAAAATGGACCCGAGGCCCATATGGGTTTGACATGCGCAATAGGGGGTTGAAATGATTATGGAGCATGTTTCTTTTGAGGGCAGGCTTCCGTAACTGTAAAAGCACTGGGTTTCTGTGGAAGTGTGAACTAAGGACGGTGCTCCTGTGTCTGTTGGTGACGGCGCTGGGCGGAGTGTGGGTTCTTGAGCAACCGGCCCAAAGCACGTTCGAGTATTTTCCGGCCTTCTTGGCCCTTCTGGCGAAATGCTTTGAGAGTTGGGGATCAAGTGCAGTACCCTGAATGAATTGGTTCCCAAAACCCTGATCTTCTAAAAACCAGAGTCACGTTTTGAGCTCAGGTCACCAAGGTGTCTTGGTGGATGCGACACTACGATGGTCCGTCTCCCAAGCGACACTTCATGTATTCAAACTCACCCCACATCCGTAGATTGGACAAGGGAAAGCTTCAGGGCTGGAAGGCTTCCTCTAGCAAAGCCAAGAACGCTATAGTCTACAGGGACTCTCAGAACCGCAAGCGCTACAAGGGCACAGCCTTGCTGAAGTCTTCAGAGACCCACAGCAAGAAAAGGATACAAATTTTGTTGGTGGAACGGTGGAACTGGTCTTGCTTTATCGATGTGGAGGTTGTCCCCCCGTGCCCAGACCTTGCGCTGAGGATCTATCCGATCAAGTTTGCAAGGTGCTTGGTGGATTTGTACCCGGACCTCGTCAGTAGTGCCCGCGGACAAGCCACACTTCCCGAAGCAATCCCGCCTGCTTTGGATTCGTTTTTGAAAATGCCCGAGACCTCAGCGGGGCTAGAGTTTGCTGCCTTGGAAGAAGTTTTCAACTACCTCCGTCGGGGCAAGCGCCTCAGCATCCCTGCTAGGTGGGCCCAATATATTTCAAAGCCTCAGTGAAAGGGCTGGGGTGGTGAAAGGCAGGAGGTGCAGCCACCTCGTACACCTTTTTCGACCGTTCTCTCATCTTCGTTTCGTTTTTTTGATAGACTTTTCGAGACTTTGGAGGGCACCTTGAGCGAAAACATAGTATGCTATATTTAACCCGTACGAAGCCCGTAGTTAACCCATACTAACCCGTACGGAACCCGTATTTGTGATGTTTTGCAAAAAAGATCGTCTTTTCAGAAACCATATTTAACCCGTACGGAACCCATACTAACCCGTACTAACCCGTACTAAAAATATGGTCTTTTTACCTCCCTGCCAACCAGATACAATTTGTGAGTTTGTAGGCTCACAGCTGCACGTCGAAGGCTCCATTTCGATTCGGGTGGAAAATGTTCGACATTTGGTGACTTACTGGTGACTGATTGGTGACTTATTCTGCTCAATCGGCTGATTGGGTCATCTTTCCAGCATTTGGCTTGAAGTTGGTAGCGAAGCCCGTAACTGGCTTTCTGTTGGGATCATGTCGTCCCAACCAAAGAGTGTTGAGACCTCCTCTCGGGTGTGGTCCTGTGGCACGTTGAAGGATGGAGTAGAACATCTTTTGGATGAAGCGGATATGCTCTCCACCAAAGAGGAGGAGCTTTCAGATTTAATCGAGGCACATACCCTTTCCAACCACAAAATGTGTGATTCACACGGTTGCTCACAGGCCATGAACAAGCAGCTAGCTCTCGCCAAGAACACTGTTGCCAACATGTCTGTTCAGGCGCCTATTTTATACATATATAGAAGCGTGTGCTGTATAGCACGATTACTGTGTGAATCATGTTTCTTTCTATTCCTGCCCGTGTTTCGCGGCCAGCCTGGGGAGCCTGGCTATGCTTCACCGACGGCTGAGACGCAGCAGGCTGCCTGGCAGGGCGTTGGGAATTTCAGCCACATAACAGAGACCTTCCAAAGACAACCTTTTAGCCTTTAAACACATGCCTTTCCAGGCTTCGGAGGAGGAAGTCAAGGCTGCGTGTGCTGGTGGCGATGGCCATGTTGCTCCCAACGAACCCGAGGAACAACATGATTCGCTTGCTGTTTTCTCCATTCTACAGACCATGGACCATGTTCTTTCTTGTGGCGCATGCCTTGCCAGGAAGTCAAGGCTGCTTGTAGTGGCGGCGATTGCCTTCATGGAGAGGAACCACATGATTTGCCAGCTGCTTTTTTCGAGGTAGTTGATTGCTGTTATAAGCTGTTTGTTGCAAGGAGACCAGAGCAGTCGCAACTCCTGCTCGTGCTGAGACTCCTGTGGTGACAATTGTTGAGAGCCAGTCACCTGTTTTGGAGCAGCCTGATCAGCATTCGTCGGAGGCTCCTGCTGGTCAACGGGATCAGCCTTTGGAGAGCGGAGAAGCTTTGTCACAGCAGGATGCTGACAACGCCAGTGAGCCTGGGGGGGGGGGTGCTGAGGAGCCCGGCGAGATCAGCCAACATGACCATGACTTGAAAGAGAAATCAGAGCCTGCAGCAGCCAAGGGCAAACTGAGAAGGCCATTGACTCGCCAGGAGACGCTGCCAAGAATTGTCAGGGTGGGCTGTTCAGAAACATGTTATATATATAGAAAAAGGACTTGACCAAATAACATCTGTTTGCTGTTCAGCCTGCAACCACAGTGTGCAGGAGAAACTGCGTGAAGCTGCAAAGCAGCGCCTGCGGCGAATGTGCCAGGAGAAGCGGAAACGGAAAGGGATGAATTGTCCTGATTGGGTGCGCCAGGAGTGGCAAACGCGCGACAAGGGGGGAGACCGCTCAAATGTTGATGGACTGCAATTGGGACAAGGCCAGGCTCACTACTCTGCAGCCGTTTCATGTGGATCCGTCGTCTGCGCTTTTTCCTTTGCTTTGGCAGGACCTGTTTATGAACAGGCTTGAGATCATGGTGAAGAAATCCAAGTCGGTCAAGGTAATTGTGGACGAGCGATGGATGTCTGAGAAGGATATGAAGGAGGAAGGATGGTCGGCGAACCTCGTCAGACCATAGACACAGCCTTTGATGACATCCCTGGCAACACTAGCTTCTGGGGGGGCTATGTCCTATTCCTATAGAGCTTTGAACAAAAAACTAACCAATCCGATGGTACTTTTGCACGCGCCCAGGGCACGCATCGCCGGCGCGAAGAAGGACTGTGAGGCAAAGGGTGAATCACACTGCAGGCGCGACTGTGGATGTGGTAGGAGAACTTCTGCCAAACATGTAAGAAAGGCAATGTACACTAGGGTGTCCTCCAGAATCGTTTTCGTGTGATTGCCTTCTGTTTTTGACGCTGGCGCCTAAACATCAAACGGTACAGTGCCAGTACACGAGTAAACCACGCGTCATGAAAGTCCCGGCTGCCCAGAAAAAACCGCTATGATGGTGAATGGGAATACCTCGTCGTCCTCAGTGAGAAGACTGTGAAGGAGACCTCGAAAACCCAGGAGGAAGTTCAGCGTCAGGTCAAGAAGGCCGTTCTACCTGTGTCCCCTTTCCACCCATTGCGCACAGTCTCTCTGCCAACCGGCACGCCTCCAATTGGCTGGTAGGCGACTGCGGATGTGCAGCTTGATGAGGATGCATTTGCTGACCTGGATATGGTCAAACAGCGTGAGGCTTCGGAGGTCAAGGCATTGAAGGAAAACGGTGAAAAACAACAAGTGGAGGAGGCCGGGCATAGCATATAGCCCGAAGTTGTGCATTGGTTTCTTCTATTTATATATCTTTACGATCCTTTACCTTTTTTTCACCTCGTTCGTGTGGAGCTGACCTGATCAGACAAAGAAGACCTTGAAGAAGTTCATGGAGAGCTTACTTCAAAAATCCGGAAAGATCCGGTGTCTTGTGAGGGAATTGAAAGATTCCTACTCTGAATCCATGAAGGGGCCCTAGCCTTACAATGTATAAAGCTCAACTCAAAATGCAATGCAAAATCCCTCGCTTGCGCATCCCTGCTTTGAGCGTCTCACTTTCTGAAATACTTATGACTTTGTCCTTTATTCTTGCCCTCCTCACTATAGGACTTTGGAGCAACTGCAAAACAAGCTGGCCGCTATGGATGCTGAGTATGACACACTCGGCGAGCTGATGTCCAAGGGTGAGTTCCAGGGCTTTGGTGAGAAGTGCCTCGGCGTGTGAGGGCGCTCAACATAAAACCATTCATGGCACCTGAAAACGATGATGTGCATGCATGTGTGGGTTTCTGATCGCAAGTTCGAGGAAAAACTGGAAGTTATACTGCAAACATTCACCGTTCGAAGCTGGCTGAGTTCAGGTTTGTCACGGACGCCACCCAGAAGATGAATAAGGCTACAAGCGTGTACCGGCCTCATTCCCGGCAAGCTGTCTAAAAGTCCTATATAATTCACCGCTACGGTGACACTGTGTGCAAAGGTGCAGTGCGGCGACCATACTGGAGACCAAAGCCAGGCTCCATGGGGCTAAAAGACTCATGTGAGATGTCCTTGAATAACCGGCGCCCTGTGTTTTTGTCCAAACCTAGCTGTTGGTAGGCAGGCCAAGAAGTTTGAGAAGAAGGATTCTGCGACGTCTCGAGCTAGCGGTGAGCGCAAGGCAGAGTCAAAGAAAGCAACCAAACCGAAAAGCAAAGGGAAAGAAAAGGAAGTGAAAAACAGAAGGAAAGCAAGTGAAGTGAGTGCGAATGTGCCCTCTGCGGGCGCGGCTGGTTCAGATGAGCCGGCGGCCAAGAAGGCCAAGAAAGCCAAGAAGGGTTAGATATCGTGATTTATTTTGATATCCAGTCGGGGTTTGGCGGATTGCGTGGTCAATCCACTGCTGCGGGCAACCTGCACTATGTGGCAGGATAGAACCTGCAGTGAAACATGTGTGTTGGTCTCCAGGTGTCTAAACAAGTCTCTTGGATATTTGTCCAACCCATCTTTTGGAAATGAACCTTTGTGCTGCCAACTCTGAGCTAAACACACAGAGAGAGAGAGGGAGAGTAGAGTGGTCGCCCGAAGGGAGTCGTTCAAAACAAGGCCGCGCTTTCTCGAGCACAAGCACAAGGCACCGCCCTGACCCCCAATAAGCACCAAACAAATGCATGCCAGGTGCTGGGAAAGCCCTTCGAGCCGTAGCTGGTGACATCGGTGAAGGTGCCAGAACCTGAGAACAAAACTCAGCAGGCAGCAAGTTGCAGGGATCTGATCTGTGAACTTCTATACTGACTGGATAAACCCACCCTTCCCGCCCAGAAGGTTTGCTTTGGGGGGAAGAGTGTAGAGGTCACCTAGACTGAATCTCTTGATGAGAGAGATCCCCAAGACTAAATCTCGTCATATTATTGAAGCAAAAACTGCATCAAACAAGGTGGACTAAACTAATCGGGGGTTAGTATCCAAAGAGCCAGAAGGTTAATTTAAAGGTTAGAGGGCGCGAGACGGACGAAACCAAGTGGGTGAGTCTATTTATCTGCGCTTACATTAAGGCACATCCCGGTTGTTTCAGCCTTTTGACAAAATGTGTTGCCTCAAAACATGGGACAACTGACATCTCTACCCTTTTCAATCTCTACCTTCGTAAGGTTCAGGCCTCTACCCTTTCCAATCAGGTTTCCCCTGATTGTCCGCACCGGCCTTGCCCCCGGCAAAGACCATGCTGCGGCAACGGCAAGCGACATTGGAGCACAATGTTCTCTAAAAGTTGTCTGTCAACATTGACTGAACACCTGTACGAATATGACTGGTAAGGTTCACAGAAAGAGGGAGCAGTAAGTATTGAGGCTTTTTCTGGATGTGTTTCTTCTTCTCTTTTCACCTCATCTTTGCTGTGCATGTCATGAACCAGCTGTGTGAGCGTTTCTTGCCAACTTCCCTTTAAAACATTGGCCATAGCCCAGTGTATGATTGTACATCTCCAGAAAAGGCAAGCCTTACACCCGGATATCTTTTGAATGCGTAAATTGGCAAAACCAACTTCACAGAATTTATGCCCTGCAACGTTTTGGCCTGCCTAGGCCACAACCTACAGAGCTGCCATCCGGACAGCTCGTGGTGTCGTGGAAGACATCGGGGAAAAAGCTGCATCGGCTTCGCGCGGACTAGTTGCGCTCAGCAAATGCAACGAGCACGCTTCAGAGCGGGATGGGTTGAAAGTCATTCAGAGGCATCATTTGACTCTTCCAATCCCGTTGACTCTTTTGAAAAAGTCAGAAGGCGTGTGCTACAAAGGAGACTTGCACGTTATCCGGCTGAGGGATTGGCTTCAATTCATTGTGGAGCACAACGTGCAACATATGCTTACGGGGCTTGCCAAACCAGACGCAGACCGCGAAGAGGCGATTTTAGTGGAATTTTGGCGACGGTTTCGTCTGCTCCATCCAGACCATGAAGTCTGGCAGCTTTTTGACAGTTCTGAGTCTTTTGCCCTTGAGCGCACTTTTCCCCTCCTCCTTCACGGGGACGAGGGAAGAGGGAAAAAAAAACAAGCTTTTCTCGTATGTGCCTATCACAGTATTCTTGGTCAGGGCACATCTTTGGCAAATTCATCACGGAAAAAGCGAGCTTACCTGGCCATGCGCCTGAACTACTTGGGGAACACACATGCCAACAGGCTCCTGACTTGCGTAATGCCAAAGTCATCGCAAGATGATGTGATCTTTGCTGACCTCCTTACGTTTATGACCGCTGACATTCTGGAAGTGATGAACCAGGGAATCAGACATCCTGCATCAGGTCAGTGCTACCGGGCAGTATGCCTGAGCGTGTGTGGCGATTGGCAGTTTTTAGCTAAGGCTGGCGGACTTTGCAGAACTTATGCCAACACAGAGAAGAGACCACGCGGCCTCAACTCATCCCCTAAGGGGATCTGCCACCTGTGCCAAGCAGGGCAAGTTCATTGCCCATTCGAAGACTTCAGGACGGACAGAGATCCTGCATGGAAGCAAACCATGTATGCTCAAGAGCCATGGGAGAGGACCCCAGATCTTGCTCGGCTTCCACATGTTCCAGGCCGTGCGCCGGCACTGTTTGCCTTTGACTTCTGGCACGCGTATCACTTGGGAACAGGCAAGGTTTATACTGCCACTTGCCTAGCTCTTATCAGCGAGAAGATGACTTCAAGAAACATCGATGGACGCTTCAGCGAGCTGTCAGCTGAATATGCAAACTTCTGTCAGGCAACACGCCAAAGCCCTTTCCTAAAGCAAATCAGCAAGGATACAGTTGGATGGCCTGATAAGAGCCACTACCCGAACGGCATGTGGCACAAGGGTTCGGTTACAACATCGTTAGGCCAGTTCATTCAGTATTGGCTGGATCACGCAGACTTGTCATCTGACCCGTTGCTGCAATTGTGTCGAGAGGGCATTCACCACATCAACGATTGCATCCACCAACTCTACAGCCGCGATGTTTGGCTAACCTCTGAGCAAGCCATGAATATTTCCGCATCAGGATTGAGCTTCTTGCGATGCTTCATGCAACTGGCAGAAGAGAGCTATCGACAGGACAAATCACTCTTTATCTTTATGCCCAAGTGCCATATTTTACACCATATTTTTGTTACTATGAGGGATCAGGCAATTGATCCAAACATTCCTTGGGCTTTAAACCCGCTGACGTGTGCCGTCCAGCAGGACGAAGATTTTGTTGGTAAGATATCCAGGGTGTCCCGCCGAGTGGGGGTGCCCCAAGTTGTGACAAGAGTCCTGCAAAGGTCACTCCAGGCGACCTTCAAGCACTGGACTCAAGTTGGCTATTTGTTCTCAGCTTCGTAAACGTGGATGTGCTTTGCTTTGCGTGACAGCTTTTTGGGCCGCAATGCAGAAAAGAAAGGGCCGCGGTCCAGGATGATGAGAAGGGAGGGGGAGATGGATACATTGAAAAACACACTTTTTGGAAAAGATCGTCTTTTCCTGAAAAAGATCGTCTTTTTTTCATGTACTACGTTTTCATGGTATCTTGTTTCCCTAGGTATGGATTGTTGCTCTTTTCCGCTCATTTCACCTTACTTATCAGATTGATTAGGTCATCGATTAATTCCCGCAGCTACCACCGTTGAGATTTATTCAATGTACAGTCTTTTG